AGACGTTTTCAAGCTTCTGGACTGGAAAGGATACGGTATTAACATTAGTGGTGAGTACATCACTCACCTTCGATTTGCCGACGATATAGTCCTTATGGCAGAATCACTGGAGGACCTTAGTACTATGCTCAATGACCTCAATAGTGTCTCCCAACGGATCAGTCTTAAGATGAACATGGACAAAACAAAAGTCATGTTTAACGTCCATGTCACACCTATGCCGTTAGTTGTTGGGAGCACTAAGCTCGAAGTTGTTGATAAGTATGTTTACCTGGGACAAATAGTCCGACTAGATAACTCCAACTTCGACCGAGAGGTCAATCGACGGATTCAACTCGGCTGGGCAGCGTTCGGGAAGCTACGACACATCTTCTCGTCAGACATACCTCAAAACCTTAAAACGAAATTGTACAACCAGTGCGTGTTGCCAGTGATGACTTACGAAATTGAGACGTGGTCTTTCACTGCTGCCCGTATGAGGAAGCTCAAGGTCGCTCAGCGAGCTATGGAGAGGGCTATGCTCGGAGTTACTCTGCGTGATAAACTTAGGAATGAGGATATCCGCAGTAGAACCAGAGTAATCGACATTGCCCAACGGATTAGTAAGCTGAAGTGGCAGTGGACCGGCCATATAGCTCGAAGAACCGACAACCGATGGGGAAGAAAGGTTCTTGAGTGGCAGCCACGTACCGGTAGGCGAAGTGTAGGGCGACCCCCCACGAGGTGGAGTGACGACCTGGTAAGACATGCAGGAAGTCGATAGATGCAGGTGGCTCAGGACCGTGCTTTGTGGCATTCCTTGGGGGAGGCCTATATTCACCAGTGGATTTATGAAAGGCTGTAATGATGATAATGAAAACCAAATGTATGAAATTCATGACTCAAAATGTCAAACAATTAAATACTAATGTAATTTTAAATGGGGAGAAACTGAGTCTTGTACATACCACCATTTTTCTTGGAATCACACTAGATACGAAGCTTTAATGGAGCCCCCATATATGAAAACTAGCAAGCAGACTTAGTTCTGCAGCATATGCCGTAAAAAAGATTAGAACTCTAACTAGTGTTGAAACAGCTAGACTAGTTTACTTTAGCTATTTCCATAGCATAATGTTGTATGGTATTTTGCTATGGGGACACGCAGCTGACACTTAAATTATATTTGTTTTACAGAAGAGGACCATAAGAGCAATTTATGATTTAAAACCTAAAGAGTCGCTGTGACAAAAATTTAAGGAAATTAATATATTAACTTTGGTCGCTCAGTACATTTATGAAAATGTAATGTACATACACAAAAATAAAAGTAGTTTTACAAAAATAAGTGATATTCATTCAGTAAATACTAGGACCAGACACACGCTAGTAGTACCAGTTACTCGACTCCATCGAGTCAGTAATTCATTCTTGAGCCGATGTATACGCTTTTACAACAAAATTCCAGAAAATATACAAAATTTGACCTGCTCAAAGTTCAAAAACTTTATTAAAGTAAGTTTGTATAAAAAGGGTTATTATAATTTTAAAGAATTTATAGATGATAACAACCCCTGGAAATGAGCTGATCGCTACCAAGCTATTTCTAATTTGTTGTGTTGTTAATTTGTGTAACATACATGATTGTAAGCTTTTATTTAAAAAAAAGTGCCGCTGGATTTCATGCTGGTTCTTCCCAGGACAGAGGTATTTTTTCGAACCAGTGGTAACTAAACATAAGAGTGACTTTCAGTAAGTATTATTTATAATCTATATTGAATAAAAAATTTCTGTTTAGCTCTTTCCCCACGCTGCCTCAGCCAACATCTGAATTCTCGATATCGACATATGAAGTGACGTATAGTTCCGCTGTCATTTGAAAGGGAAGCCTAAATTGACCTTTAAAAAGTTTGACGTGCTATGCAGAGCGTGACAATATTTCATTCCAGCCCACCGTTTGCAAACTTTTCAAGGTGCAAGTTCATAGTTCGCATGAAGTACTGTTCTCATGTCTGGACCGAGACACCCCAGTGCTAGCTCCCACTATTTGACCACATAAAGCGAGCAATAGTGTTGCGAATGCGCCTAATTTCACCAACCCACATCGGGACAAAACTCACAAAACCATGCACACCATCTGGATACTTGGCGGTCCACCATGACTGTGCGATTTACTAGGAGTTTTCTTCCTCGCAAGAATTCTTAGTGGCATTAAATACCAGCTACGATTTTTCCATACCGATACGAGGCATGAGATTTTCAAACGAGCCCAGTGTTTTTAAAAAGACGCGCAACCTACCTGCATTTTTCCTGGCGTTGCAGTTGTTCATGGGCGATGATCGATATTTATTACCAGATTTTTTTTATTTAATGTGGGTAACACCGAAAATGATAAGTACATTGTAATATTTAAAATTTATTGTTTCATCGCCTGTTCTAAAATGCCTATCAAATAAATACTGTAGGTCTTTTGCTGGTTATGACTTCTAGGTTTATGATAGAATGTACAGGAATGTGTTAAGGCAAACACTGCACTCATCTAGGTTGAGCACTGGTTTGATACAAGCATTAAGGTCTCTTTATAGGAGCTCTAATGCTTGTGTCAGTTTCAACGGGGTCTACTCGGTCTGGTTTAGTTGGCATCCATAAAGGTATCAGACAGGGCTGCCTAGCTTCCCCGTGGCTGTTTAACATATCTATGGACTGTTGTTTGGAAAATTTGAAAGTTGCCTTTTGTACATCGATGATCAAGTCATATCTGCTTCGTCGGCGGCCAAGTTGCAAGTTATGGCTACATTAATAAACAGGCCATTAAAAGAAAGGGGGATGAAAGTGAACGCAAGTAAGACGAAAGTGGTGGTGGTTGAAAGATAAGAAAGTAAAACGATTTCATTATCATCATCATTAGAGCCCTTCACAAGTCCACTGATGAATATAGGCTTCCCCTAAGGAATGCCACAAAACACGGTCCTGAGCCACCTGCATCCATCGACTTCTTGCATGTCTTACGAGGTATCTAGTGAGGGGACGCCCTACATTTCATCTGCCGATACGAGGCCGCCACTCGAGAACCTTTTTCCACATCGATTGTCGGTTTTTCGAGCTATATGGAAGGCCCTTTGCCACTTCAGCTTACTAATCCGTTGGGCTATGTCGGTCACTCTGGTTCTACTGCGGATATCCTCATTTCTAAGTTTATCGCGCAGAGAAATTCCGAAGATAGCCCTCTCCATAGCCCGCTGAGCGACTTTGAGCTTCTTCATCCGACCAGCAGTGAAGGACCACGTCTCAGTTCCAAAAAACGATTTGTGAAATAAGAAACGAAGGGGAGTTGATTGAGCAAATGGATGAGGTTGTGTATTTGGGGTTTTGCATGGATGGTAAATATGATAAGGATATAATACGACGAGTGAACGCAGGCAATAGAGAAAATGGAGCTTTACACTATACTGTGGAAAGTAAGAATGTTTAAAAAAAGGCACGTGTGGCAATTCATAATGCTTGTGTTACTTCCTACTTTAATTTATAGTATCATTACCATACATTCTTTACCATACATTCAAGTTAGGTGTGGCAGAAGAAGCACGAGAGTAGAATAAATGCTGAGAAATGCAGTATTTAAGGAATATGGTATGGCCAATCTGAATCTGTGTGAGAAATTGTGTGATAAGAGAAAAGTGTGGTTTGCAAGATGATGTTGTGACCAGGATTAAGAAAGGAATGCTGCGGTGGATTGGTCATGTAGAAATAATGAACGAGTAAAGAGTGACAAAGCAAATCTATATTGCAAGTGTGAACGACAGAGTCAGCAAAGGAACGACGAATGTTTAGACGAATGTTTATCGACCTATCGATATATTGAAAATGGAACTGACCACTTGTAAAAGATATAATAAAAAATAATATATAAAAAATAATAAATAATAAAAAAATTTTCGATCTTTTATTTAGTTCTCCGTAACTCTGCAATTTCGGACTTTGTGCGCGCGGGTGCGCTACCTTTTTTCATATAGCAATAATATCTCATTTTTCACTTAAATCTTGCCGTTTCTCTATTACGAGCCTAAAACCAAAATTTGACATGTTTTGACATCGTTGTTTATCTGGTTGTCATGGCAATTTTTATTCAAATTCGCTACCGGTCTGTTGTTTCTACTTCGATAAATCCACATAAATACTCTTTCCTCTTGGCCATTTACAAAAAATTTGCTTTCAATTTAAATAATTTTCCGTTCTCTCTAAAAAGGTATAAAAGCCGAACAATCGGTCAAGAAACTCAGTCTCGCTTCGGTTCTCAAACTCGAAGAATCTCCTAAAGGCCTTATCCCGGGGCCGCACTGCCCCGGGATCCTGCAAGCCTCTGTCCTGCCTGAAGCCGCCGGGACCCTGCTAGCTTCTGTCCTGCCTGAAGTCGCCCGATCCTGCTAGGCCCTGTCCTGCCTGAAGTCTCCAGGACCCTGCAAGCCTCTGCCCTGCCTGAAGTCGCCGGATTCTGCTAGCCTCTGGCCTGCCTGAAGTCGCCCGATCCTGCTAGCCTCTGTCCTGTCTGAAGTCGCCGGATCCTGCAAGCCTCTGTCCTATCTGAATTCGCCGGATCCTACAAGCCTCTGTCCTGCCTGAAGTCACCGGATCCTGCAGGCCTCTGTCCTGCCTGAAGTCGCTGGGATCCTGCAAGCCTCTGTCTTGCCTGAAGACGCTGGATCTTGCAAACCTCTGAATTCACCTAAAGTCGTCGCCTAGACACACCCACGCCTTCACCTACGCTGTGCGTGCTCGTTCCAGGCGCTGTGGGCCTACCACCACCACAGCCTGCGTATAATCTGTGGGCAGCGAAGAACACCACCAAAAGCGGTGTACCTCTTGGATCTTCGGCCTCAGCTTCAATACCCATCATTTTTATTATCTTTTTTTTTTTGAAATAATTGTAAATCACATCACCCATATTCATCCTCATACGAGGGTGGATTGAAAAGTACTCGGCCTAACCAAGAAAATAAACAAATACTAAATCAGTTATATTTTTATTTTTCTACATAATCACCATCAAGTTCAATACACTTTTGCCACCTCCCCTTCCAAGCATTTAGACCGTTGAAAAAAAATGATTCTTCCTTAGAGTCAAAATATGCGTCTACAGCTGCTTTGACCTCGTCGTTTGTCGAAAATCTTTGACCTCCCAAGTGCTTTTTTAGGTTAGGGAACAGAAAGAAGTCTGTTGGTGCCAGATCAGGTGAATACGGCGGATGCGGTAACAGCTGTTCAAAGCCACAGTTGTGAATTTCAGCCATTGACTGTACTGACGTGTGAACACGGGCGTTATCTTGATGAAACAGGACTTTTCTTCTGAGCATTCCTCGACGTTTTTCTTTTATTTCCTCTCGTAAACGACGTATCAAGGTGCAGTAGTAATCAGAGTTTATATTCTGACCCCTTTCAAGATAATCAATCATAATCACACCTTTCGATTCCCAGAATACTGACAGCATCACCTTATTTGCCGACAAAATCGACTTAGCCTTTTTAGGGGGTGGTGAACCAGGTCTTCTCCACTGTTTTGATTGTTGTTTTGTTTCCGGTGTACAGTAATGAACCCATGTTTCGTCCATAGTAACAAAACGATTCAAAAAATCATCTGCATCGGCTTTAAATAACTCCAAACAGTCGCGTGAAATAGTCAATCGCGTTCTTTTTTGTTCAACTGAAAGCAGTCGCGGAACCCACCTCGCAGACACCTTGTGGAAACCCAACTCGTTGACAATGATGTTTTGAGTTCGTTCATAAGAGATGCCTATAATCTCGGCTATCTCTCTAATTTTTAATCTGCGGTCTCCCATTATTAAATCAAGTACTTTTTTAATATTTTCGTCAGTAGTTGACGTCGAAGGCCTTCCAGAGCGGGGTTCATCTTTCACACTCTCTCTACCACGCTTAAATTCTGCTATCCATTTTTTGACGGATGAATATGACAGAGCACAATCGCCTAATGTACTGACCATGTCATCATGGATGGCTTTTGATGATAGCCCCTTCTTATGGAGGTACTTAATGACGGCACGCTGCTCGATTTGCTCAATTCGCGGAAATTATGTCCGATTACTTTGTTAATAAATTTATAAAATCACAACTAATTATCGCACACGTTTTGAACTTCACACAATGAACTAGTCTGAACTGAACTAAATAATGTGGGTAGATTTGATTTTTAGAATTGAATGGATCTGTGTTAGGCCGAGTACTTTTCAATCCACCCTCGTACATAATTTTTTTTATATAAATCTGTAAATATCTTTTTTTTATATTTTAAATAGATTATTTGTTTTGCCCTATTTTTGTTGTTTTGTTGCTAGGTTAGGTTCTTTTTTTTGTTTTTAATTGTCGCTTCACGACAAGCGTTCCTATAGAATGGATCATCCGCTCTCGTCAGACAGTAATTACGGAGGCTGCACACTTCACGATTATGCACGGTAAGCGCGCTTAAAAGCCACGCCCACCATGTTTCCGCGGCAAGTATAGCCTCATTACTGACGATCTCGGATGATGCATCCTGTGGGACGTCATAATAGTGCGGACTTTTGTATCCAGAGCGTTCATTTCAACCTGAGTCCACCTGAGTATTCCAAATGTATACATGCGAACAGGCATGATCCAACCGCTATATGCGTGTGTCTTATTAACGCCCGACAAAAGACTTTTAAGCACTTTTGTCAAGCGAGCATAAAACACATCACAAACTGACTGTTTCATGTCCGCCTCATCGATACCTATGTTCTGTGACATACCCAGGTATCGGTATGTTTCAGCCTCGGATAGGATCTTTGTGTTGATAGGCATAGACAAGTCTATGCCCTCAGAGTTAGCAACCCTTCCCCTTTCGACATGGAGGACCGCACACTTATCCGTTCCCAGCTCCATTCTAATAGGATTGCTAAAATCCTAAGTGATGTTTAGCAATTCCATAAGATGGGAGCGACTGGAGGCGAATAATTTGAGATCATCCATATAGAATGGTTGGGTCATTTTTGTACCTACTTTCCGAAGCTAAAATCCTCTTCCGGAACCCTCCAGTAAGTACTGAGAGAGGCAGAACCAGATTGAACTCAAGCAATCGCCCTGGAAGATACCCCTTTTTATTCTCATGTGGTCTGCAGCCGTCATCCGCTCGCCTAGATGACAAAGGATCGTACTCCACTGCCCCATACACTGCCCGAGGAAGTCTCAAACTGTACAGTCAACCTTGTACAGCTCAAGGACCCTCTTAAGCCATGTATGAGGCACCGAGTCGAATGCCTTTTTGTAGTCTTTCCGTTTAACCCCCTTGCTAATGACCGCGCCAATGAGGAGTGGTTCCTTGGTTCCACGACCACCGCCCCGATATCCATTCTGAGCGTGCGACATCACTTCATTTGAGTTCAGGTGACGAGTGATTCTCGTGCTCAAAATGGATGTTAGTGTCTTGTATATGGTAGGTAGACACGTTATGGGGTGGTATTTGCTCGGATCTGTGGAATCCCGGTCTTTAGGAACCAAATGAGTGATCCCAGTAGTGAAGAGGTTTGGGAGTGACTTTTGGTCGAGAGCCTCTTGAAACTGTCGGGCGAGCACATCGTGACACACCACGAAACCCTTCAGCCAGTAGTGATGCAGTCCGTCGAGTCCCGGACTTTTCCAGTTCGGGGCCCTACGGACCGCATCAACTACGTCATCCGGCATTATGATAACGGGGTCCATGGGCGTACCATTCGCACACTGACTCGCCACAATTTCCGTCCAAGGGCCCTCGCTGTGGTTTACGAGCTCTGACCACAGGCCGCGTCAGAATGCGACAGTGTCGGCCTGATTCGGTGCTGGGCCCGTTCCACGTACCATTGGCCGTTCTAATGATTCATAGAACCTCTTCTGATTACTCTGGAAGAGACAATTCTGGTTGAACCGTGTCGACCTCTCGGTATATCGCCGAATCCGCTTCCCCCAAACAGCGATTCTCTGCTTCAGGTCGTCTATGCCAGTTTATTATTATGTCAGTTTTTCCGGCTGTGACAAACTGATATTTGTCCCAGCAAACGCCATCCTGACCATGCTCACAATTCTCGGCCTATTATTTCCCGAACTGAAGCTTATCAGTCTGTCGATGAAGGCCCTTGACTTTGAGATACGGTACTCAATGCTTCTTCTCCGGGCTGGGATAGCGCTACTTTGCCCAGTAGCACGTCCAGACGTGGGAAGTTAAGAAGTCTTTGGCGCCAAAGCGGCGCCAAAGACTATTGAGTCCGTATCTCAAAGGTCCCTGCTGGTTTCCAAAAAGGTTGCCAACAATGGGTTCAGGGCCGTCACGATATCTTGATTCCGCTTGCTTAGGGTAATGAATAAAAATTAAAAAAAAAAGAAAAAAAATGCGTGGGAGTCGCGGTCGATTTTCGAGAGGCGTACAGCGCGTTTTCATAATCGCCTCCGCAAATTTATTCCTCATCTGCTCTAGTTCTTGGGTGACCATTTCATCATCGCCTGAATCAACCAAAGCGGGAAGATCCATTGCGGCTTTCACATATGGCTGCTGGTCTATGGTCTTAGGCGCCGCATTCCCAGCTATAGCTGGTTCATTCGATGAGGGAATAGCCTCACGCCATAGTCGTTCGAGTTCGGCATCATCAAATATTTTCGAGCGTATGATGTACCGAACTCGGTCTGCCAGGTTTTGCTCGGTGATGGGAACAGACGGCTCCAGCTCAGTAAAAAAGCGATGCATCCGAGCCCGTATGCTACCCCACTAGTTTCTACCCCTTTCGTCCTATAGTATGCCTGAAATGTGTGCGGCGGGTGCCGCTTGCCGAGTCCGAGAGGACCCTGCCGGTGCCGACACGAATCCATCTGGTGGGGATTATGGATGTAAGGTGGTCGTGCAGCACCTCGCACTCGGCTGGCGGCCCGCATGCTGTCACGTCCAGCGCCAGCTCCAGACGTGCCCCGGCGACCCCCAGGCAGCGGCCCTATGCGCGTTCTATATGTGTCCATCATCCATAAAAATGGGCGTCAATTAAGACGGGAAACGCCCAGGCCCGGCACCGTTTAACAGTGTAGCCGTAAGCACAAATGGGTCTTTGCACCCTCAATTCTGCCGAGCCACGGCGCTCACACCTCTTGGCAAGGCGCTGACTGACTGCACCGACGTAGCAGTTTTGTCACTTAACTGCCACGTCAGCGGCCGATGGGGTCGTCACTTCCCTACGCTTTAGAATCAATTAAATGTTAAAAGTAGCAAAGCAACGTGAATTTAGAAATAAATTATGTCTATTATTTAGTCATATTTACTTTAGTCATACGTTTCTTGAAGTTAAAGTGGGAAAGGAGAATGCCAGATTCTCTATAGAACTTTGCCCCACCCAAAAGTATCATGTACACGAATGCCGTATGCAACATTTTTTTTCTACTTTATTACTTCATCCAAACTATATAATTTGAAGTCTCTAGAACTTTTTTTAAACTGGACTTGAAAAATTACATTTACCTTATTTTTTAGAACAGCATTCGTTGCAGTTCATTGTAATTTCAGAATATAAATTGTCAGGCGCTAATGATCCTTAAATTATTATTTATATATAAATGATTTTTTTTTCTTATTTATATATTTCACAGGCACAAATTAGTCAATGTGTGAAAAAATTCCACATTAATTTGTCATACATACTTATGATATTGACACAATGAATTGTGTGTATCATTTCACAAAATACACGAAAATCAATGATTATTATTCAGTAATTATCTAATGCAGTTCATGATTATTATCGACTTATTTATTGAAAATTAAAATTGTTAAGTAACATTTTATATGACAAAGGCTTATAAGTAATATATTTTAATAGAAATATGTATGTATATACATGTATGTATTGTTTGATACTTTATGCGTACGTATGTACTTATTTGTACAAAGAAATGCAGATGTTATTAGAAAAGACTGGAAATGTTAATAAATAATCGTTGAATTCCTTTTTCTTTAAATAATATTTTACTGCAAGTTGTACAAAATAACGATTTATCACAAAAAACTTCAAAATTCATAAGATTATTTTTAATATTTTTACCTTCTTTGGAAGCTTCAGGAAGCGGATGCTAGGGACAAATATCATGCGAGGGTAGCCGAAAAGCTTGACACCATCGATGGCAGAAAAGAATGTGTAGAAAGAACTTGGCAGAACCTTAGGGATGGAATGGTAAGTGCAGCGGAAGAAGTGTGTGCATGGTGGAATGATGAAGTGAAAGAAGCTGTAAAGAAGAAGAAGAAAGCATGGTTAGACTACTTGGCCTCTAGTAATGATAAGGATATGAGAGAGAAGATGAAAGAAAGATATAGGCTGCAGAAAGTTCACACGAAAGCACTGATTGAGGAAGTGCGTGAAAGGTGTAGAATGGAAGCGGACGAAAGGTTGTCGCACAACTTCAAGGAGAACTCCAAACTCTTCTGGAAAGAGGTTGGAAGGACCCGAAGTGGTGCGACGGCCTTAAGAATGAACAAAGTGCTTTCGAGAACTAATGACGTCCTCTCAGAAAAATCGGACGTCATGCAGCGATGGAGCGAATTTTATAGAGAAATGTATGCGTGTGATGATCTTAGTGAGGGATCCGGGGATGACGCCGTGACTGGTACGCCAGACCCGGACCTCGATGACACTGAGGTCATCAGGATGAAAGAGATTGAACGTGCGATTCGAAGTTTGAAATGTGGTAAGGCTGCGGGACTAGACAGAGTTACTGCTGAAATGGTCAAGTATGGTGGGCCTCGCGTCTGGGACAGCTTTCATCTGCTGTGCAATTTGTGCTGGCAGACGGGGGATATCCCGGATGATTGGCGATCCGCAGTCATTGTGCCTTTATATAAAGGTAAAGGTTCACATTTTGACTGCGGGTGCTATTGGGCGATCAGCTTGACCAGTTTAGCAAGTAAAGTTTACTCGAAGGTTTTGACACGTAGGATGCAAGAGAAATCGGAAAGATTTCTATGGGAGGCACAATGCGGATTTAGACCTGGAAGGGGATGCACGGATCAAATGTTTTCTCTCCGCATGATCACGGAGAAGCTTCTGGCTGCTAACCAGAAGATTTTCTGTGCTTTTGTGGATCTTGAGAAAGCATTTGATAAGGTTGTAAGGAAGAAAATGTGGGAACTGTTGCCGGGGTATGGTGTGGATGGTCGATTGCTAAGGGCTGTGCAGTCTCTTTACTGTGACTGTAAAGCCTGTGTGCGGGTAGGGCATGACCTGTCACCCATGTTTAATGTCCAAACGGGCGTAAAGCAGGGTTGTGTCATGTCTTCCTGGCTGTTCATACTGTATCTCGACAGCTGTTTACAGAAGCTGAAAGATAGTTGTTTGGGTGTGAAATTGGGTGACATTAAAGTAAATTGTCTGCTGTATGCTGATGATGCAGTGCTTATTGCACCATCAGAGGCAGAACTGCAGGAATGTGAAATTAAAGGTCTCCGTTTGAATGCTAATAAAACTAAGGTTCTGGTATTTGAAAGGGACGAAGAGAGAACGAAGTGTGAAATATGGGTAAATCAGGAATGTCTAGAACAGGTAAATGAAATTGTATACTTGGGGAGTGCTTTTAGCCGGGATGGAAGATGTGATTTAGATGTGGACAGGCGTGTCGCTGCCGGGAACAAAGTCAATGGTGCCCTGACTGCGTTAGTCAAAAGGCAAGGCGTAGCGAAGAGTGCACGCCTTGCAATACATAACGCAGTGTTGGTACCGACTTTGTTATATGGTAGCGAAACCTGGGTATGCCAGAAGAAGCATAAAAGTAAGTTGAATGCAGTGGAGATGCGATCTCTTCGTAAAATGTGCGGCGTTACCATGGCCGACCGATAGCGAAACGAAGAGATTCGCAATATGGCAGGTTTGAAAGATGACCTT